GGATGACACATGAGACCTTGTCAGAAAGAGACGGACTGATGGACAGACAAGCGGAGGGAGGGAGGGAGGGAGGGAGAGAGGGAGGGAGGGAGGGAGGGAGGGAGGGAGGGAGGGAGGGAGGGAATAAAGAACTACTGTTTAAGGGATACAGAGTTGCACTCTGGGATGACAGCTTCTGCAGGTGAAGGGTATGGTGGCTACAACAACAGTATGAATTACAGAAGGTCACTACACCTGAAGATGGCAGCCAAAGACCTGGGACCACAGAGCCAATTAATTTTGGTGTGTTTGTGTGTGTGTGTGTGTGTGTGAGAGAGAGAGAGAGAGAGAGAGAGAGAGAGAGAGAGAGAGAGAGAGAGAGAGAGAGAGAGAGGGAGGAGAGAGAGAGAGAGAGAAGGGGGGGGGAGAGAGAGAGAAGGGGGAGAGGGAAGGAGGGAGGGGGAGAGAGCGTACTCCCATGTGTGTATACACATATATGACATATAGGAGCATGCCTGGGCTGTGTGTGACAGACACATATAGAGTAGTGGGGAGGTGGAGGGTAAGCACATGCATGTCTTGGTGCACATGTAGAGGTCAGAGAACAGTTTTGGGGGATTGGTGTTTGCCTTCTCCTTGCTTTTGAGTGGGGGGGGTCCATCTCTTGTTTCTGCTTTTGAATGACCTCCCCATCTTGCCACAGGCGAGCAATTACAGATATAGGCCAGTTCAACTGATGGTTTACAGGTAAAGAGACCCAAAAATTACTCCAGCAGAGTTCCAGGCATCCAGCAGAAGAGGGGAGAGAGGATTGTAGAAGCCAGAGGGGTCAAGGACACCACTAGAAAACTCATAGAATCAACTAACCTGGGCTCAAAGGGGCTCACAGAGACTGAACTAACAACCAGGGAGCCTGCACGGGACTGACCTAGGCACTCTGCCCACATGTTACAGTTGTGTAGCTTGGTCTTCTTGTGAGACACCTAACAGTGGGAGCAGGGACTGTCTCTGACACTTTGACTGGCTTTTGGGACCCTACTCCTCATACTGGGTGCTCTGCCCAGCCTTAATACAAGGGGAGGTGCTTAGTCTTACTGCAACATGATATTCCATGCTTTGCTGACTTCCATGGGAGGCCTGACTTCTTCAGAACAGAAACAGAGGAGGAGAGGATAGGGGTATGCAGGCGAGGAAGAGAGACTGGGAGGGAAGGAGGGAGGGGAAACTGTAGTTGTGATGCTATTAAATAAATTTTAAAATATTTGTTTTAACTTTATGTATATGAGTGTTTGGTCTACAAGTGTGGATGGGCACTGCATGCATGCCTGGGGCCAGGAGAGATGCTGGGTCTCCTGGAACTGGAGCGGGTGCTGGGAACTGAACCTGGGCAAGAGCAGCAATGCTCCTAACAGCTGAGCCATCTTTCCAGCCCTCCTGTGACTTTTAACCTGAGTTTCAAGGATCCAACTCGGATCACCAGGCTGATGGGCAGCAAAGATTTTTACCTACTGAGCCATCGCCCTGGCCATTTTTTTTTAAATAAGCAGTGTGTGTGTGTGTGTGTGTGTGTGTGTGTGTGTGTGTGTGTGTGTGTGTGTGTGTGTGTGTGTGTGTGTGTCTGCCCCAGTGGCCACGCAACTAGAATTACAGGTAGTTGTGAATTGCCTGGTGTGGTCTTCTGAAAGAGCTCTTAACACTGGGCCAGCTTCCCAGCCTCTTTTTTTCCAGTCACTCCTTTTCAACAGGCAGGGTCTTGTGTAGCCTAGGCTGGCCTCAAACTTCTGATTTTCCCCAGTGCTGGACACAGGCCTGGGCCAATGTGCCAGCTAGTTGTTCCGTTAACTTGACACAAGCTAGAGTCGAGAGGAGAGAGCATCAATTGAGAAAATGCCTCCTTAAGACAGGACTGTGGGCAGGCAAGCCTGTAGGGCATTTTCTTAATCGGTGATTGACAGGGGAGGACCCAGCCCATTGTCAATGGTGCCACACCTGGGCAGGTGATCCTGGGTTCTATAAGAAAGCAGACTGAGCAAGCCATGTGGAGCAAGCCAGTAAGCAGCTCCCCTCTACAGCCGCCACTCCTGCCTCCAGGTCCCTGCCCTGCTCAAGTAATTAGAAATGTAAGCAGAATAAACCCTTTCCTCCCCAACTTGCTTTTGGTTACCGTGTTTGATCACAGCAATAGAAACCCTACAGCAGTCACTATGCCTGGCTTAGTGTGTTGATTGTACCCATTCTGGCCTCACCCTAGGGCCTTCTCCCTTACCTGCAGCACCCTCAGCCCCTGCCCTCCACTGAGCATCTCATCTGCCTCTTTGCACAGTGACTCCTCAGTGTCCTGTGCACCCCACCCTGGCTCCCCGACCAGGGAGCTACGGAACTCCGCAGTCCTACAATCTCCCTCCCTGCCCCCCAACATACCTCCTGCCCTTCCCACCTGAGCTCATGACTGCCATCTGCCTTGCTCTCCAGAGAGCCTATACCAGGGCAGCTATAGGAGGACACCCCATGGAAAGCACTGCCCCCAGCTGGCCCCCTCTGGGCGCTCCTCCATAGGTCAGCTTTCTTTCTCCTCTAGGAAGCTCGCCTGCGGGTGCAATTGTTAAAACAAGAAGACCAGAGCCAGGTGGAGGTGGTGGTGGCGGCGGCACATACCTTTAATCCCAGCACTCAGGAGGCAGAAGCAGGCGGATCTCTGTGAGTTCGAGGCCAGCCTGGTCTACAGAGTGAGTTCCAGGGCAGGCTCCAAAGCTACACAGAGATAGGTCTCAAAAAACCAAAAAGAAGTGACCAGAGCAGGAGTGGTAAGGGGGTACCATCCTAGCAGTATTCAAGAGACTCTGGGAACTGAGGGGTACAAGGGAGTAGTTTCAATGGGGGTAGGGGTATGATGTGAAAGGATCTTACTTTTCCAAGAAGCGAAGGGAAGGAAGGCATTGTTTTGGGCTTGTGGGGAAGACTATATGTAAAAACAGAGGAGCTGTCAGGCTCTATGGCTCCCAGAGGCGGGACTGCATTTCAGCTGAGGAACACTGGAACCTCAGCACTGGCCCATTTCATAGTGTGTGATGCGGAGATGGGACCAGGGCCTTGTGTATGCTGGGCCAGCACTCCACCCCTGAACCACACCACAGGCCAGCACACGACCCCTGAACCACACCACAGGCCAGCACTCCACCACTGAACCACACCACAGGCCAGCACACGACCTACTTTAGAACAGGGTTTTGGGGGCACATTAGTTAAGCTGAGGTCTTGTTGAACTTAGGGATACCCTAAACCAAAGACTAGTGTCTTGGAAGAAGGTAAGAGGAAGGCTGGAGAGATGGCTCAGTGGTTAAGAGCATGTTCTTGTAGAGGACCAAGGTTTGGTCCCAGCACCCATACGGCAGCTCACAACCATTGGAAACTCCAGTTCCAGGGGACCCGATGCTTCTTCTGACCTCCATATGGTACACAGATATACACTCAGGCACACACACACACGTACACATAAAAATAAATGAAATGGGCTTTTAGTTAAATCGTATCTCTGCACACCACCTTCATGCCTGAGCCATGCATGTCAAAATCATGATCTCCCCAGAGCTAATCTCAACTCATTTCTGTTGCTTTCAGTCACCTAGCTTGTGAGAACCTGTCAATCACCCTAAGGAACTAATACATTCAGTCCCCACGCAGAGCCCTCCAACAGGAGAGGGGAAGAGACACTCATGAATGGGTGAAGGGTGAATGGGGGAAGGGTGGCAGCTGGGGTGGGGACCTGACGGAGGTCTCTGCCGTCCTAACTTCACCAGGTACACAGGCTTTCTCAGACCTTTGGGTGTCCAGCCGTCAAGCTGCAGCATGAGGCCCTGACGATGTTTCCGGTGGGAATTGGAAGCCTGACCTAACACAGAGCCACGCCTTGCAGCAGCTGTTCAGTTTGGGTCTGCTTTTATTTTCCCAGAATCCTCTCCTCCAAAGGTCAACAGGCTTCATGTAGACTGTGGTCTCCCCATGGCTGTTCCACACCCGGGTCACTCAGAAGCTGAAGGGGATGCGTCCTCCCTGAAGGAAGGCACAGCCCTCACAGCCTGCCTTGCAGAGCAGTTAGCGGTACGTGTGTTCACTTCCCCGCTCCACACACATGGACCACACCTGCTGTACCCATGCCTAGCACACATAATGCCTGGCACGTGCTGGACGCAGGAGTGAGGGAGGAGGGAGCAGGAGGAATCCTGTCCCAGCCGAATCCCTTCATGGTCCTCTCCTTTCTGTTTTCCCTTCTTGTGTGGTACTGGGGGTTAAATTCCGGACATTTCAGGACATTTAATGTGAGGCAAGAACTCTACCATTGAGCTACACTCCCAGGTGAAGCCCCCTGTTCTTGTCACTCTTTATATCCAAGCTTGACAGCATGGAGATCACGCCTTTGTTTATGATGATGAAGGGCGGGGGAGGGAGGTTGGGAGAGGGAGAGAGGGAGAGAAAGGGAAAGAGAAAGGGAGGAAGGGGGGGGGGGATTTTTAATCTGCCCTGTGGAGATAGCTTTTCCATCCACAGTGATCTTCATTTAAATTTTCTGACAGGCAGTGGTGGACCCAGCAACTGGGCATCAGACGCAGAGGATCTCTGAGTTCTAGACCAGCCTGGTCTACAGGGTGAGTTCCAGAACAACCAGGGCTACACAGAGAAACCCTGCCTCAACAAATAAGCAAACAAAGGAAAATTATTCTTTTTCGAGACAGGGTTTCTCTGGGTAGCCCTAGTTATCCCGGAACTAGATCTTGTAGACCAGGCTGACCTCAAATTCCCACCCTCACCTGGCTGGAAAATTGTTTCTCTGCTAGCACATTCTCCTCAGCAGATTCCCGCTTTCCTCACACATTCCCAAGTTTTTCTTACTCAGGTGCTTGCACTCGGGACAGAAGAAAGAGCTGTGCACCACAAGAGGTCATCCGGAGAGAACCCAAGGCTACTATGTCCATTCCTGCTGAAGTGCAAGGCCAGCTTGTGCCCAGTTCCCACAGGCTCCTTACCGTACATCTTGCCTTCGTCCGACAGGATGATTTTTCGGCGGCCACAGGGTGGGTAAATGGCCAGTGCCTCCTGGAAGCTTTGCTCAATATCCGGGCTCCACACGCCCTCTGCATCATTGTCGATGGGCTTGTCCAGAGCCTGGCTGCCCCCAGAGATGCTGCTCCCCTCGGGGGAGTCGGGAGAACTCCACTCGTTGGAGGTAATGATGCCGGCCTTGCCCTCCAAGGCTCGGCTTGGAGGAGCGCCCGTCGGACCTGGTAGAGCCAAAACAAGGCAAAAAGGTGAGAGGCGAAAGGACCTGGAAGGTTGCAGGACACGGAACACACAGAGAATGCTCCAGTACCAGACCGGTTCCTCAGGGGACAAGTGAAAAGTATCAGGGGAGGGCGGGGAGGGGAGGACCGTGGGGGTCTAGGGGTCAGGGAGGCTTGAACATGCTGTTTTCCCTCAACAGAACAAACGTCCAAACTGTCCGATGAGCACAAAAGACCCCTCTGATTAGACCTCTAAAGCTGGGAAATAGGAGACAAAGACATAGTGACAGATTTAGTCTGACACTAAACAAACTCTGGGCAAAAAGGACCTTAAATATTATGGAAGAGGTGAAACAGTGCAAACACCGTGGAAACAGTATGCAAAATCCTCAAAAAATGAAAACGAAGGCCAGGGCATGGAGCCCAATGATAGAGAATTTGTCAAGCATGCCTGAGTAGTTCTAGCTTCAGCACTACCAATAAACAATAATAATAATAATAATAATAATAATAATAATAATAATAATAATAATAATGTGAGCCACGAATCCTGCTTCTTGGTATACTCCCAAAAGAATTAAGCAGGAGCTCCAAAAGACATCTGTATACAAATACTCATAGCAGAGCTATTCACAACAGCCAAAAAATGGAGGCTGTCCTGCATTCATCCCTCTGTGAGTACAGAATGAGGGATGGGTATACGATGGACTACTATTAGCACTAAAAAGGAAGGTGACCCTGTCACAGGCTACGACATGGATGAGTACTGATATTATTATGTTAAGTAAAACAAGGCAGTCACAGGAAAAAGACAATGCGGGTACACACAAGGAAGGCGGGCACATTCTGACAGGGAAGGTGCCGTGAAGGTTGCCAGGGGTTGGGGGAGGCAGGAGCTGTTGTCTAACAGACACAGACTGTCGGGCTGTGGTGCGGTCCTGTGAACATACTTCCAGTCTGGGGCCTGGTGACAGGCGAGGATGGTGGGCTGCCACAGCTCAGTGACAGAGCACCTGCCTAGCAAGGACACAGTCCTGGGTTCAAACAAGAAATAATTCCATAAAATGGAACAAAGCCACAGCTGAAGGAGCAAATGGCAGGAAGGCTTCCTCGGTTGATGACAGATCTGAATCCTTTAACTCTGGAACCAAATGAATCCTTTTTTTTTCTGAGACAGGGCTTCTCTGTGTAGCTTTGGCTGTCCTGGAACTCACTCTGTAGACCAGGCTGGCCTCGAACTCACAGAGATCCACCTGCCTCTGCCTCCCGAGTGCTAGGATTAAAGGTGTGCACCACTTCTGCCCAGCCAATAACAAATCTTAAGCAGGATAAATTCAAATAAAATAAACACAATACCCAAAACAAACCTTAAAAGCATCCCAGATAAAGGCCGGGCGGTGGTGGCGCACACCTGGTCTACAAGAGCTAGTTCCAGGACTGCCTCCAAAGCCACAGAGAAACCCTGTCTCGAAAAACCAAAAAAAAAAAAAAAAAAGCATCCCAGAAGAAAATGGGCAGATTAGTGGCAACAAAAGAGTAGGAACCCAGAGCCTCTTGCATGCTAAGAAGACAGCTGTGCCTACCCCAAGCCCAGAAAGAAATATTAAAGTAATAGTGGGTTTCACCAGCAATACTAAAGGACTCAAGATAATGTATCTCCAAACTGGTGCGGAACACAGTCATCATCCCAGAATGCAAACCCTGACAGGGGTTAGATATGGTTCAGTGGGTAAAGTATTCCCTGTGCGTATATGAGGGCTGGGTTTGGATCCCTAGATGGAGGAAGAAGCTCGTGTCTGTAGCCACAATTCTCCCACTGGAGGCGAGAGGAAGAGACAGGAGAATCCCTGGAACTCAGTAGCCAGTTTGCCTGCTGTAAGGACACAGTTGGGACCAAGAGACAGTGACTTAAGCTGGGGAGATGGTTAAGTGGGTAAACGTACTCGCTGTGTTAGCCAGATGGCCCGAGTCTGGTCCTCTAAGAGCTGGCTTCTGCGGTAAACAACGACGAACTAAAACTGTAAGCCTAAACAAACAAACCCTTCCTTCCCCGAGTTGCTTTCAGTCACGGTCTTTGTCCCAGTGACAGAAACCTAAGACGGCAGTAACGGAGGTGTACGACAAAGAGGAGAAGGTCAGTGTCTGGGAGAAGCTGAGTTCATACGAACAGAAGCTAAAGCAGGCACAGGGCTCAGTGAAAGCCCCGCCTAGCACGTGAGGCCTTAAGTGCCAGCCAGCGCTAAAGATACAGATACAGAGACCGCATTTCTGAAACATAGATTTAGAATATGCACTTGATAAAACCTAAGACTTTCTCCGTGGTGTTGGTGGCGCACGCCTTTAGTCCCAGCATTCAGGAGGCAGAGGCAGGCGGATCTCTGAGTTCAAGACCAGTCTGGTCTATAGAGAGAGTTCCAGGACAGCTAGAGCTACACAAGAAGAACAAAAACCGAAAAAATACATAAGACCTTTCTACAACAAGACCTATCTAATAAATAAATAAAAATAATCAAAGGTGATAGAGATGAAAGGGAACTAGTTTCTTCAGTCTGAGCAAAGGCATCTTTTGAAAACTTACACAAATAGGACTCTTGCTGGAACAATGGAAACAATGCCTTTTAAGTTAAGGATAAGATCAAGAGGCTCACTTTGAGCACTTCAAATGCTAAGCAAAGCCAGGCAGTGAGGGATGGGGGCAGGGGCAGGGCAGAGACAGGTGGTTCTCAGTTTGGCCAGCCTGAACACAGGGAGTTCCAGGATAGCCAATGCTACAGTGAGACCAAAAGATGTTTCATTTGTGGGAAAATATGATTTCAAAAAGTTCTACAAGGTTTTTCATAAAAACCTTAGCAAGCAGATTCTGAGATGACTGCGGAGCACTCTAACACGGTGGTGAGCACTCTAACACGGTGGCGGAGCACTCTAACACAGTGGTGAGCACTCTAACACGGTGGCGGAGCACTCTAACACGGTGGTAGGCTCTGGCTTTGCTGTCTGGTTTCATGTGGTCAACGGAGGTATGCTGTGTGAGGGCCAAGAGATGGGTGACGGCTTCACTTCTCCAGCAAACGATATGACGTCGTGTAAATCACATCACTGTCCTAAAGCCTCAGAGACCTGAGTTCTTTCTCTCTCTGCTGGCAGAGTCTGTGGCCTACACACTACACCTGGACCCCGTGTTTCTCCGTGAGCCTCCATGTACACCCTATAAACACTGGACGGAGGATGGTGTTCCCACAGTGGTCAAGAACACAAAGCTCTGGGTTTGATGCCCCGCCCCACCTCTCGTGGGATAGCTGGGGTAGTTGGTCTGCTATAGGGCCTGCCTCCCAGTCAGGGCTCAGTACAGGGTGTTTAATAACCGTTGCCCTTAAGCTCCAAACTTGGGAGTGCAGAGTCTGCACCCTTCAACAGGCCTGGCAGGAACACATAGCTTAAGCCCTAATGAAGATTAATATCTGAGAGTGATTAATTCACCTTCTAATGCAGAAGGTCCCGTTAGTTATGGTGTTGGGTTTTGTTTTCTCCATAGGCCTGACATGAGCACAGCCACACACTCTGAGCAGGGCCTAGGGTGAGATGGAGAGGAGGGCTAGCCCCGTATCACCTTACGAGATGCCCCCGCCCCCACTGTGTGCCAGAGAGGCCACCTTTGGGCCCTGCCTCACCTCACATTGCCCTTTCCAACACTCCAAAACTGGGCCCAGGGCAGCCCAGAAGAACAGGCCTGGGCAAACTAGAGACCATCTGTGCCAGACTGCCCCATGGGAGAGGTTTTCTGAGGACCTGCACTGCATGTTCCCAAGATTGGGACTGTCCCAGAGAAAGTGGGGCAGCAGGTCACGCCAGGCCCTAGGACATGGGAATCATTACTGCAGTGAGTTGTCCCTGGCCCTGTGAGGCTGGGGTGCTCCTGGTCCCTGGTTGTGACTGGCTGGCCACTCCTACCCTTCCTAGGCAAGCTGCCCACACAAGCCTGCCCTGTGGCCAGAAGAATGGGGTAAGTCAGCCTCAGCCCAGAGATGCTCCTCCCACTCCTCCCCCAAGTGACCCTCCAGGGAGTGCCAGGGGAGAGGGGAGTGGGAAACAGATGGCACGACTGCCCAGACCATGTGCTATGGCCAGAGAAATAAAAATAATCCCTGGCTTGGCTCTCAGACCAGCCTGGACGCTTCTAGCTCTCTCGGCCCCACCCAAAAGCCACCAGATGTCCTACTTGGGACAATCAGGCCCAAAGAACACGGCACTCTACCCCAAGGTCCACAGGTGCTGGCCATGGGGGACATTTCAGAAGATTCAGGGACTGGGAATGTGTCAGAATCCTCCTAAGGCTCAGAACCCCGTGCTCTTCCAGAAACAGAAGAGAGATCTGCAAGCGATACACGGAGAAGCCGCTGCTGTGGGGCACGGTGTGGGTAGAGCGGAGCTCGGTTTGACCGAGAAAGCAACCAAACCAGACTGCCGGGAGCTGGGGTTGTAGCTGTGCGGTAGAACATTTGCCAGCCAAGCCCTTGGACCCTGAGACCTCTGTGTCTGGTCCATGTCCCACACAACGTCACTCCCCCAGTCACCAAAGCACACAGTCCACAATGTTGCTGCGACAGGCCGGGCCTAGGCTGTGATCTCCCTTGAGTTCCTCCACCTGGAGAACACAATTATCACCTAGACAGCAGGGTCTGCCCTGCTCCTGGCTGGGCGCAGGTAGGAACGGCAGGCAGGCAGCCGGCGTTACCGTTAATGAGTTGACTCTGCCAAAGGCTCCCTTTGTTTTAGGCCAGGACAAATAACACTATTATTTCCCGACAGAGATGTTCTCCCACATACAATGGACTACATTCTGCTAAACTTACTCGTCAGTTAATAATATCCTAACATAGAAGGGAGCGGTGATGCATGCCTGTATCTGAGATTCCGGACGCTGAGGCAGGAGGATCGTGAGTTTGAGAACATTTTGGTAACCTTCATACTGACTTCCATAGTGGCTGCGACAAGCTCTGCCT